AATAATCGTATACCTGTTAGAGAAAACAAAATATAATGCTGTTTTAGGGTTTTTTATAAATATGAATTAATAAAATTAAAACAAGTATTATTGTTAATCGATAAGTCATTCAACAAAAAAATAATATAATGTTGTTTTAGTTTGTTTTATATAAATATGAATACATAACAACAAAATAAAAACAAGTATTGATTATATGCTTGTTAAAAAAATAATACGATGTTGTCTTAATTTGTTTGTAGAAATATGAATTAGTAAAATTAAAACAAGTAATTATTACTGTTAATCCATAAGCCGTTAGACAAAAAAATAATACAATGTTGTTTTAATTTATGACTATATATATATAAACTGGTAACAAGAGAACAAGCATAACAATTAATTGTGTATCAGTTAAAGAATACAAAATAATATGATGTTGTTTGAATTTGTTTTTATAAATATGAACTGGTAACAATAGAGCAAATATAGCTATTGATTGTATACCTGTTAAAGAAAAAGAATAATCTGATATTGTCTTAATTTGTTTTATTTAAATATCAGTTCATAACAACAAAATAAAAATAGTAATAATCGTATACCTGTTAGAGAAAACAAAATATGATGCTGTTTTAGTGTTTTTTATAAATATGAATTAGCAAAATTAAAACAAGTATTATAGTTAATCGATAAGTCATTCAGCAAAAAAAATAATATACTGTTGTTTTAGTTTGTTTTATATAAATATGAATGACTTATATTTAATTGAGCAATAAAAAATACAGAATGAGCAATAATCAAATTTAGCGATAAATATATAGAATGAGCAATATATATATAGAATGAGCAATATATATATTGAATAAGCAATATATATATTGAATGAGCAATAATTAGATGGAATGAGCAATAATTCCATGAAATGAGCAATAATTAATTAAAATGAAGCGTAAAATGTATATAAAAGGGCAATAATAACTCGTTTTTTTACAACAATAAACGTTTTCTTATCCTCATGAAATTTATATATAACTTTTATACATCACTCAAGCACAACTCATAGCACACTATTTTCTGATTCTTGGGTGTGGGTGTGGGTGTTAAACTACAATGAACCCACACCTACACCCACACCCACACCCACACACCCACACCCACACACCCACACCCACCCACACCCAAGATCCGAGGTTTTCTATTGTGTCTAATCCCAAAAGTTTTCCAGAGGGTCTTGGGTAATGTCTCTTTTCTTTCTACAGATTGCAACTAAAAAAATTGTTCAGAAAGCCAAAGCGATTTTGATGCTTTGAGAAGGAATTTTTCGGATTTTAAAAGCCTAGATAAAAGGTTGAAAACACTTAGTTAAATTTTGTAGCTGAAAACTCTGAAAACTAAGCATATTATGATGTAAATCCAGTGGTTGAAGTTGTCATTTTTCGAAAAATTTGATAATTGAATAAAGTCTTATACTAAGTCTCGCACGTATTTCTCCAAGGGGGTCTTCTATTATGGAAAGCCTTCTAATATAGGGACCTCCTATCGGAAGAGAAGGGTATGCTGTTTTGAGAAAAAAGAAAATAGTCGTTCGTATAGAGACTGGCATGGCTACCGTGACTCACGGTCACGGTCACGATGGCAACGGTCGTGACCGTGACCGTAACCGTGACCAAACTGATCGTGACCGTGACGTGACCGTGACCAAAAAATGTTGATCACGCCGATGTCTACCCCACACCCAGACCCTCCCACACCCACACCCAGACCCTCCCACACCCACACCCACGCCCATTTTTCTTTTTTGTTTCTTGTAAATTATAAATAAAAATAATTCACTTCTATCTTTTTTTGTTGCTCAAATATGAAATTAATATTGTTATATAATAAATTATTTATTGCTCATTTAATGTCAAAATATTGCTCATTTAATATCATAATATTGCTCATTTTATATTATAATATTGCTCAAATAAACATTTTTTATTGCTCAAAAATTATTGCTAAATCATGTTTTTATTATTGCTCATTCTATATTTTTTATTGCTCAAATAAATACAAGCCAATATGAATCCATAACAACAAAATAAAAACAAGTATTGATTATATGCTTGTCAAAAAAATAAATAATATGATTTTGTCTTAATTTGTTTTTATAAATATGAACCAGTAACAATAAGGCAACTATACCTATTAATCGTATAGTTGTTAAGCAAAAGAAATAAGATAAAGCTGTGTAAATCTAAGTCTTTATCTCGTTATCTGAAGTTATTGGTCAAGAGTTTGAGCCAATTACAACTTGATTATAGATCATGATCAATATCGCCTGAAAAACATATAGGGCGCAGTAGTGATCGATATGACGGGAAAAAAAATTCGTATATATGACGCACTATCAGATTCCGATAAGAATAATTCATTGAAAATGTCCAGAATGCCGGTCAATTTAGAGTTAGAAAAGATTTAATCAATGGAATACGGGCTCGGGCCCGATAAATTTTAACCAGCCGTGTCCGAGTCCGAAAAAGTTTAATCGGGTCCGGGTCCGAAAAAATTCAGTCGGGTCCGGGTCCGGGTCCGGGTCTGAAAATCTTGGACCCGACGGGCTCTAGTCAGCAGAAAGCAGATATCAGATATTTATTTACACCGTATAGTTTTAAAACTATAGAAAAAAAGTTATCAGATATTTACCCACACCATGCATTTTTGAAATCGTCAGAAAAGCAGATATCAGATATCCACTCACACCATACATTTTTGAACTCGTCAGAAAAGCAGACATAAGATATTTACTCACACTATACATTTCGCGATCAGTTTCTTCGCGGCACCCACAGCGGCTGCGATGTGATATGTGTCGTAGTGTGACAAGTCCATTCGAGGCCACTTCTTTTGTGGCCAGTCCTTTTGTGGCACCCAGAGCAGCTGCGATGTGATGTGTGTCGTAGTGTGACCAGTCCATTCGTGGCCAGCCCTCTTGTGACCAGTCCTTTCGCGGCATCCACAGCAGCTGCTATGTGATGTATGTCGTAATGTGGCCAGTTCTTTAGCGCCACCCACAGCAGCTACGATGTGATGTGTGTCGTAGTGTGACAAGTCCATTCGAGACCAGTCCTTTCGCGGCACCCATAGTAGTTGCGCTGTGATGTGTATCGTAGTGTGGCCAGTTCATTCGTGCCCAGTCCTTTCGCGGCACCCACAGCAGCTGCGAGGGTGTAGGTGTGGATGTGGATGTGGATGTGGATGCACCTCTTCTGTTAACACACACTGCCCACACCCACACACCCAAATATCTGATATCTGCTCTTCTGGTAGTTGCTCAGAAATGTATAGTGTAAGTAAATATCTGATATCTGTTTTTCTGGTAATTTTAAAACTACACAGTGTAAATAAACATCTCATATGTGATATTTCAGTCTTTTTTCACATTTAGCCATACTTTCAAAATTTGAAAATTTCGAAATTAAAGAATTGTGAAATTTCGAAATATTGACATGCAGATTTCAAAATTGGTAATAATTTGAGATTTGGCACTCCTTGTATTGCTGTTAATGGTCTCTCTAATTTCGGGCAAACAAAGGCATAGTTCCATCGGAAATTTTAGTCACATTTCAACATTCATAAATGTTGACTAATTTTCATATAACTGTATTGCTGCCATTTATGAATAGAAGAAATTGTCAAAGGTCGATTAATCGTCGATAGACAAATGCAAATAAACGAGGAAAGTACCATTTTAATTTAAAATAAAGCAATGGAGTTTATATTCAGTTAATTCCTGTTACAAAAAAAAATGTTATTGGAGATGGGGGTGATGTATATATCCAAACTTACACGCACATGCACACCTCCACGCGCA